TATTTATATTCATATTTATACATATATATATATGTACATGTACATGTATATGTGTAAACCCGTACGTATTCTTGTATACAGGGTCTGGGATCGAACGTCACTGAAAGGAGTGACATATTGCCGGCGACCCCAGTGCCGAAGTTAGGACCGCTGCCACGCCGTCATCTTCACCGGCTTGGCATCGCCGTGAGCGAGTACAAAGGTCCAAGGCACGATGGCGAATACACGTGTCCCGCAAGCTAGGGGTTCGCATGTCAACAAAGGCATTGCAGCGGCTGCAGTGCCACCACACCAGACCGGCATCCAGGGAGGCCGAAGCTACGGGTGGAAAATCAAAGCGGCAATCGTGGTCTTCGGCGGCTGGCCGAATTGGGATCGCGGCGACAATGGGTAGTGGCGCGACCACAAGTCAGAGCCAGCCCAGCGATTCCCGAGTTGCCAGGCGATGGAGGTGGAACCGTGCCGGGCAAGGACGCGAGGAGGCAGCCGAGCCGACCCGAATGGGGGAAGGACAGTCATCAGCGGGCAAGATGATCCAGAAATGTTTGACTTCTGTCAAGAAAGCGGAAACGAAGGCCCGCAAGGCTGCTAGAAAAAAGAATCCTGGCGGAGTGGAGATGGCAGATCTACCCGGACCAGCCGAAGCCGTCCTTCATCGACGAAAGGGCTCGCAACCTCGCCGACAAGAAACTCGACGAGGAGCACCAGGAGCAGGAGGCGCAGCATATCAAGGCGCTTGTAACCCTGCAGAAGATCCTTGCCGACCCCGCCGAGGCGCAGGCGACCACACAACCAAGCTGATGGATACCAGGTGGAGCACAGCAGCGAATGAAGGAGATCCTCGCCAAGAAGGACAGCAGAGAGGAGCCGAAAGTTGCTCCCCCGGCGCTGTATCGGAAGTGCGACTCTTCCTCCTATTGCACCCATCGACTAAGACATGGACCTGGCCAGCCGGACAAGAGGTTGGCCATCAGGAATTGTGGGGCGGAGACGCGTAGCCTCGACCCGCTGATGAACTATGAGGCAGGGCCTTTTCGGTGTCCCTGCAGATGACACTACTCAGTTCGGCTCTCTTCGAAAGACTGACAATGCCAATTTGATCTTTGACATCTTCGATGTTATGGATGGTGGGCTCCACTTGCTTCGCCGATTGGAGCCATGGCTGCAACTGGCTGGAGACTATGCTGTCGCTGCCTTCCTGACGGGCTTGGTGATTCTTTTGATTGCTGAGCTACATATAGTTCGCCTTGGCTGCAAGAAGGCACCGAAACGTGTCACACAAGGAAAGCCAAGGACTTGGCCGCCGTGGATCCTGATGATCTTGGTGGCTGGTGTCAGTGGAGCCGATGGATGGATGGATGGATGGATGGCGCAGTCATGCCTGCTGGATGGATATGCAGATATCAGATATCTTTAGAAACGTCCACCCAGCTAATGCCGCACCTGAATGCTTGCATACGCTTCACACCCGCAACTCGGACAAAAAGACATACACATACATACTAACACGTAAGCTTGTCCGGCTCAAATGCCTATGCATGTGCAGCGTCTCCTGCATGTTCAGATTTTGGGTTGTAGATGAATAGATGCATGGCTGAAGAAAGAACTTGACCCCTTATGTTCGTGACGAGTCAGTCATGAACGAACGAAAGAATCAGTGAAGGAAGGAAGGTGTGTAGGTGGGTCGCAACCTCATGCGGAGCAGTTTACATGTGCTTTCCGTTGTTGGGTGGTCGTTTCTCGGAGAGAAAGTCGAGCAGCTGTAGTCACAAAGCTACGTGGTCAACCAAGCCATTGATTACGACGGAGAGTGTTCCAGCCTTAGTGCTAAATAAACCCCTTGTTCTTGAAAGTTCTTGTCAAGTGCGTCGGGACGGCGGCCTCCACGGAACAGCTCTGTGCCCTTCGGAGTAGCAGCAAGTCCCAGGGGTTGAGTGCCACCTGTGACGCAGTGCGGTGACCAATCCGCAAGGCTTTGGGAAGGAAGGGCCTCCGGCTGCAGGATTTCCGCTCTCGAACCAACAGATTTGCACAATGATGAGAGAGAGAATTTGCAGCAGGATGTACAAGCCAGCAAGCTAATTCCACATTGCCCCAAACACCCCAGCATCGACCCTATGACGACAACTCAAGCAAGGCACAACGAGCTGCAGGGTGGCCGGTTCATCGGACGGCAGAGTGTCAGCCAAGACCTGAGACTGGGGTCCCGTGATGTTCATCTGGCTCCGGCTAAGGTATGCGTGGCTTGCCTAGAATTCTCGTCCAACCAATCGGCCAAACACGTGGGTCGTCTGAGTGCCGGGTGCTGCACTAGTCACTGCAAGACGTACGCCCGATGGACGACACGCAATCACACATTCCAAAGGAGATGCTTGCGTGGCTACGACTTCAGTCGTGAGTCTTGACAAGGACGAGATCATCTTGCAGTTGCACAACAGCCTGGTTCGGCAAGAGCCATGGCCGATCTGAGTCTCCCTCGGTCCTGGCCTCCTGATCCTGCAGCTCGCGGCCAGCCACAAGCAGCCGCCTTGGGTCCGCAGGACACTCACCACCCCGTGCTAGCCATTCCAGGAAAGCTGTTCGGGGCTTCGAGTGAACATGCACCCTGCTGTCAGATTGAGCTGTGATAGACATCAAGACCAATACCAAAAAAACGTCACACGCTAAAAGCGCGGCTTTCCCCGATCCAGCGAAGAGCAAGCAGACCGGCAAGCTTCATGCACTCCGACTCGAAATTCCGACTGGGGGGTATCGTCCACAAAACAAACCAAAGTGCTCGACAAATCTTTCTTCTTACCCAGACATATTTCCCAGCTGGGAGCTCCTGCTTCGTATGTCGGAGGAAATCGAGCAGTGGCCTTTTTGACGGACTGGGCCTGCTGGGGCACCCATTGCAACGGGTACAGGAGCAAATCAGTTTAGAAAGTCGATTCATAGAGTCATCGCGCGGCCGTGAAAAGGCTGTGGGCACGTGGCGGTCACGTGGCGCGCGGTCACGGCATACCTCGATGTTAAAGTGTATCAGAGCATGAGATCGGAGAACAATCCACTAAGACACATGCATCCCTGCAAGGCCCTCGCCAAACTTCCCGGAGTTTTCCTCGGAAGATCCAAATTCTCGCCCAAGCTGCTGCCAGCAGGGCGCGCAGCGCGGGCGTCGCCGCGCCACCGTGCTTTTCAGCTCTGCTACCTCTGGTCTTGGAGCGCACTTTGTGGCATCCCTGTGCATGAATTCTCAAACCAGCCCAATTTGCAAGGCATGCAAGGCGAGCTTTCGAGGCATTGCCCAAGGTGGCATGTGGGACTGCGAGATGTCGGTCACGGTGTTGGGCTACGAGCGATGGACTGACTGCATTGTGTGGTTGAGGGCATTTAGGGCTTCTGCAGAGGTAGCTTCAAAAACCTGTTGCGGAGCAACGATCGTGCAAAAATGGAGTCGGGATAATGAGGCACGCAGCTTCCTCAGTTGCACGGCCGGGTGACGGTGTGCAGGGCGAGCACATCGGCTTCCACAACGACCTGAGCTCCAGTCTCCCGCTCAGCCACTAGACTCACCAGATTCAATAGACTCCTCCCAGCCGTGGAGCAACCTAGCCTCAATCTCTGTACACGTCAGCCATGTGGAATCTCAGATACCTCCTTTCCCGCCCCATCGGCGGACCTCCCCGGTCAGCGCAACGACAGCCACATGCCGAGTCTTTGCAGTCACCGCCATGGCCGTGCGAGTCCGCGCTTCGTGTTCAGCTACAAGTCGCTGGTCTGGTTCAATCGCGACTTCGCGACTGGACTCGGTGAAGGAAATCTCTGAAGCTTGGGAATGGGTTGTTGCAAGGCGGCGAATGTCTCGATGAACAAGTCTGCGACAGCGCCGAGATTTGGCGCCGCCTGTTTCCTTGATGACGCTTGGTTTCATTCGGCTTGACGCTTCAGGGAGCCATTGGCTGCGACATGGGTGGGCAGCTGACGGTGGCTCCGTGTCTGAAGTGGTTGGGCTTCTAGAAAAAGCTTAGCACTAAACCAGAAACCCCCAAAGCTGTCCCTGGCGCAAGCAGCCCTCCACATGATCTTCGAAACCGTGGATGAAAAGCCAGGCCCGCATCTGCGACCCTGTTCTACAGCCATGACAAAGTGAAAGCAACAGCTTCGCCGTAACTGCAGTGGGAGGATGTTTCCTGTAAACTTTAGTTGGAGGTGCAGTGCAATCTCGGTAGGAATTCCATGAACAACATGATGCACAGTAGGCACATGGGCTGTTTCAGTATCATAAGTGTCAGTTCATTGGCCCTTTAAGTAACTTACAAACCTTTGCCGATGCTTTGCAGTACTTACGTTTCATGTAGCTGGAACGTCATCAAAAGCTCGAGGGGCTCGAGTTGCATGCAACAACCATGTTGCCTCCCCTATACACAATAAAGGACGAATGCCGACACTGAACACCGTCAAACATCCAGCTCTCTGCTCTCGCCGTGGAACCCCTGGGCCACCCACCAACGCCTCACGGGCTTGAGCAAGCCATCGTGGGATAAGTATGCACGTATGTATGCATCTGCATGTCAATGTGAGTACGTGCGTGCGCATGTGTGCATGTGTGTATTTCTGTTTACCTGTATGTCTGCATGCCTGCACGTGTCTCTTTGCTTTGCTTTGCTTCGGGGTTGGGACACTGGCATGTGTCTCTCTCTCTCTCTCTCTCTTTCTTTCGCCAGGGCTGTGGGCCATTCCCCCTTGCCTCTCTGTGGCTGTCTCCCTGCAGGCCGGTCTGCCTGCCTGCCTGTGTCTGTCTGTCTGTCCGTCTGTCTCTGCGTCTCTGTCTCTCTCTTTCAGAGGGGCTCGTCGGGGCGAGCCCCCACATGGAGGCACGCCTTTGGTTGGCTGCCTGTTTGGCTTCACTCGGTCTGTCTGTCTCTGTCTCTGTCTGTGCGTCTCTGTCCGTGTGTCGTACTTTGTATGTGTGTGCATATGTATGTAGCACATACGTACACAATTACTATACATCCACGCATGTCATACGGCCACGAGCACGCGCACATGCACAGACAGTCATGCAGGCATACATTAGCGTATACTACATATATTCATACATCCATGCATGCATACAACAACACAACACTGCAGAGCAGCGCAGAGCAGACCAGAACAGAACATATATACTTAACGTCTGCAACCAGGATGTGGGGTCTAAAGAAACGGGTTGCAACAGACTGGACTGCCATCATCGCGAGACCTTCTGCACTGGAGTTGGATTGGCTGGGACTCCAGGTTTACCTAAACTGGCTTCTACGCCACTGCACACTCGCCGCCCAGCTCTGCGACTTGCACAGCTTCGAAAACAAATTCAGAGGGATCCTACGTCAAGGCGTGTGCAGCCCAGAGTTCCCCGACATCGCCTGGTTCGGGATAAGCTTGATTACCAGCCCCAGTGCTGCTGCGGTGTTCATCCACCTGGCGCTGCCAGGGCGTGCCACAACTCTGTGGGGGGACAAGATCTACTTACTCGTAATCATCCCACAGGAGTGGTATTGGGCTCGCACATACTGCTGTCGAAGCTGAATGTCTGTCCGTCAGCCCGGAAATGCAATCACCCGGCCCCACACCCGAGAAAATGAATCCAGTCTACACGACCATACCTGCAGCCCACTCAAGATGCCACTTCGCTAGACACCCTTCTTTGCCCAAGTAGCAAATAAATAGCAGATGTGATTGAGCCAGGCAAGGCCACCAGAGGTCCGGCAAAGGCACAAGCTGACGATCGGCTCCTGGTGACATGCGGTCGCCTACGCGGGACGCTGACCAATCGTGGGTCGTGAAGGGCTGCAAAATTTAAGAATTTAAGATGTCCACGACTCGCTTCGAGAGCAGGATACACTCTGGGATGCGGTGATGCTGAAATCAACCCCAGAGCCCTACCAAGCGTCTTTGTCTTGCGGTGCTGCTGTGCTCGTGCTGAGTGATTCGACCGAAGCTGAAGTTGTCGACTGTGCTTTCGTCACAGCAAGGCACAGTTAGCCCCACCGCGGTTGAAGCTACTGTCAAGTCTTCCGCCAGCCTGCGGCGCTAAACTTTCCGCTAAACAAACACGGGGCTCGCATTAAGACCTCAGTGACCGAAGCCGTCCTATGTTTCGAACAGCAGAGGGCTGTGCAGCTGTGCCGAAGAGATAGTACCTGTTCTGAGGCAACAGAAAATGCTCATGTCCGGCTGATGGTAATTTACATCTGCACCTGTGTTGGAACCACTTCTGACATTGATGGTACTCGAATCTTGATGCAGCGCTCTGATACAGTTTCTAACCCTCACTGCAGCCAATGGCAGCACCCAGGCACTGCGATGCCCAAGTAGACTACGCACGCCGAAGCATAGGCCTGGCTCAGGCTGGGGGCTGTGACAGCCACACTTGCTTGGATTCGTGGACGGTTGGTACAGGGACTGGAGAGCTGTCACGGGGCAAGCTGTCCGGTTCTGACATAAGGATCTCTGTTAGAGTATGCAGTCTGCGACTGGGTACATGCATCCAGGCATCAGCACACGCCAAAGTCGACGACTGCAAGTGTTGGTTGACCAACTGGGCCAGCTGCTACAAAGCACAAAGCCTTGACATGTGAGGTTGAGCCAAGTTCGAACAGGCAGCTAGGCCGATAGACACCAGAAAGGAGTGATTTTTTGATGGCAGGGTCAAGAAAGGAATCTTCCGGCTTGCAGACAAGTGCAAAGCTAAACCATAAGGAACCTGCAAGCAGGATGATTGCATGGTCCGGTCCACTCCCAACCAGACTCCTGATGGTCGAACTTTCCCCAAGTCGTGTCTGAATGTCAGTGAACTCCAGATCCAAACTCAAGACCAGGCTTCAATAAAGCAGGAGGTGCCCATTTGATGCAGCTGGTAAACTTCTGCGGTTCCTCGCAGAGATTGCACGAGGCAGTGGACTTAACGTCCGACGCTTTGCTAGTCACATCCTTCGTCCCTACAAAAAGCCATCCGAGCCTTCGCAGGAAATGGAACACTTGCAGGGGAAATCCACACAAGCTCGAATTCTCAGAAGAAACTCTGCCCTCCTCCATTTGCTGGATGATCCGGGGATAGAAAGAGTGTCCTGGCAAGAATCTTTTGAGTGAGTGGAATGGCCTCTACGGCACAAATTGTGCAGGCGTCTTGCCCAGTCAGCATGCGTTCACCTCATTCAACTCCTTCTCGTGGTGTCATGTTGTCTACGTGCTCTCACACCAGAGATACATGACCAGCCGAGTGGTGTCTGAGTGTACTCTATGTGCGCGTGTGTGTGTGTGCTGTGTTCGTAGTTCTCGGCCTTATCTCGACTGCGTCTTGTGAAGGGGCCATCCTGCCGGGCTGAAGATCAGGATTCCAGCAGCTGCCAGCAGGCCGCGCCTTGGGTGGAGGATTGCAGGGTTGGCGGCTGCGGTGAAGTGCAGGTGCGAGTTAAAGGAGCAGGGTCTCAGCCGCATCTGACGCCTGTCAAGTCACGCCTAGCGTTGCTGCTGGTGAGAAGCTCAACATGCAAGCTCGCCCGGGCAAATGTTACTCCACGGCTGCCAGCGTGTCTCGTAGTCTTCTTGAGCCATCAGGTTGTAGACTCTAGCAACCCCAGTAATTGTAGTATGAACTCCGCACCACCATGAGCTGAATGCGGGTCCCACATCGACGGTAGGGAAGGCGAACTGCCAAGGCTCAGAACTTTCTCTGGCGGCTATGATGCAACTTTTCGCAACTGTAACACCAAATCCCGCGATGCCGCCCGCAAGAAGAATTCGAACGACTGACAGAATCAATTCGTCCTCTCTTCTGCCTCCACCCATCCCTGAGCGAGCTGCGGTCGCACCACCTCGAGCTCCGTAGGCGGTGCCTCCACAGACTCTCTGAGGATCCCTGCGTCTTGTGGGTGGGGGAGTAACGGAAACCGATCTCGCACACTCGTGACAGAAACGGGCGGCCGCAGCAACAAACCAGACGACCAGCGTGGCAGGAACCACCGGAAACGGGGCAGGAAGCGTTTATGCTCGCAAAGTGGGGCACCCAAAACCGGTCCCCCGAGGGCAGGCAAAGGAGAACCCCCAAAGATGCCTTATACATCCCTTTAAACACCATAAGGATGCAAAAGCGTACAGCATGCTAACGACTGTGTAGATCCTAAGCCGCAAACTACGAAGCCCTGCACCGTGAATCCTACAGTAAGCCCGAAACTGCTGTTCCTGCTACAAGGGGCTGCCCCCATGCTGTTACAAGAACCAGCTGGCTTGCGTTACGATGTTGGGGCAGGTTTCTGTTACACGGCTCTGTTACGGTCGGCCGGTTCACGTTACGGCAAAAATACTCGCATCTTCTCGCTGCCCCTGGCCCTTCCCTGAAGTTGTCAGGGCCTTCTGCGGCAGCATGAGCCCGGTCACGATGAACCTCGGACACGCCAGGAAAGCGGGGCCAGCAGGAACTTCGTGTTTGTCCGCAAGGGTCAGCACAACATCTTGTTACTTGTTGCTGTCAGACCTTGAAGGCTTCAAGACTGACTGAATTCACACTCTCTCTCTCGCTCTCTCTCAAAATATAGGATCCGCCACATGGCACACCAGGATAACTAACCGATCGATTTGTCTTTAGATCCTGAGAATCCCGGCATCAAAGCGCTAGCGATGAACACGAGATTCGACATCACCTCAAGCTCGTCACAGCACAAAACGGATGAAAAGTGGCTCGAGCAGCTGCTGAAAGAACTATTCTTGCGGCGCCTTCCAGACAAACAGTCTTCATGGTGCGACGATCGCCCTCAAGCATGGGGGCCTCTCCCTCTCAGCGCACTGCCAACGGACAACGACATGTCAAGTCAACTCGCACAGAAATCCCAGCACAATTCAACATGACCGCTCTTTCAATCGATTGCCCAAGCACCGGTTGTTGGGCAAGCTACCACAGGTCTCATGCTGAGTAGTGAGGGAAACGGTCCTGCAAGTGCATCGTCTTTACGATCTGCACCTTCCAAGAGCCAGTTCCTGTTCTGGACCATGGCAGGCAACTTGCTGGACGGGCTCATGAGAGCCAACTCATGAGCCCGACGCGCTCTCAGGGATGAATCTCGCATTCCTTCGTCAGCAGGACCATCCCTCCTTTACGGGAATGCACACTTAACAAGCTCCACCGAATGTCAACGGAATGCTTACCATTGCATCTTGCTCAGGCTGAAGGTCTCAGACGTTGGGTGGGAGTAAATGGCACTGGGTCTTCGGAGACAACACTTGTACGCCAGCGAAACGGAAATGGAATTATTATCGCTCTCTTGCAATGTTGTCGTCGTGGCGGACATGGAAATCAACGGCCTCGTCTTGCTCTGCCCATACGTGAGAGACGGGATGCGTTGGAGGACTTTGGGCAGCTACACTGCGCAGTTTCGACAACCACTTCACCGACAGTCTTCGAGACACATCACAAACAAGCTCTTCAGAGAGTCCTGGAAGGGTCGGATATCCACCTCGTTGGACCATCCTAGCGGCGATTGCTGCCCCAGAGCAAAGTAGGTCTCCGCAATGTCATCCGTGCAGCCCATCCTGCTCCGAGGGTTGCGCGGCTTGCACTGAATGATGATACTTGATGGTAAGTCGCCTGAAGCTCACACCTACGCATGTCTTCTTGGAGATGCAACTGCTCTCGATGGCCCTGGCAGTCTTGTGTGCTGCATACATCTCTGGCATCTTCTTCTGGTATCCAGGGGTATCCAACACACAATCCTCGGCTCATGTTTCCAGCCCATTCTGCAGACAAACCTGACCTTCAGACCTTCGCCTGCTGGACTTGGAAGACGTGATGTCTGGGAAGTTCACGGGGTTTGGAGCCCTGGCTGCTCTACACGGCTCGAGCCATGGTAGTCAAGGCCCAAGGCTCCAGGCGGACATGCACGGCGTGAATTCCCTGCTTGCCATACCTGGGCCGACTGTGCGCAGAGTCGGCTTCACTTGGGGATAGAATGGCCGGGCTTCGTGTCAGCAACTGGAGGCAAGTTCACAAGCCCAGGCAAGCTTTGACTGCTGGTTCTGGCGTGCCAATGTGTTGTCAGTGTGGAGCCAGCAAAGAGCAGAGCAAAAATTGATCACTGTTGTCTTCGGTTGCAGGGTTCACTACCTTTGCTGGATGCGTCATCGTTGCTTTGTCAGGCCCGCCTTAGTGAAGAAACGGTCCGAGGAGCCGATTGTAGAAGGGACAAGTCCGTGTCTCATGGTACAAACCCCGCAGCATTCTAGAATGTACACGATGACCCGAACATCCTGTGCCAAGACAGGCAACCCCAAGACGCCCATGCCTGCCATGCCCGTCGTGCCAAGTCACTCCTTTGCAATGGACTGTGACAAGGCCCTGAAGCAGGGGCTGCAATGACATCTGAATCCGGACCAAGGGCGGCCAAGCGAAAATGGAAGAACTCCAGGCAGCCGGCTCTACCTCTTGGCGACTTCCCGTGACGTCACTCACACATTCAGGCTCACTACAAGTCTCTCGAGACCAATGCCCGCAACCGTGCAGCGACCAACACCCAACACAATCCCACTGTCCCTAACCTGGCCTCAGAGCGTGCTTGCCGCATGCGAACTGCGCCGTGCCGCTACCGCCCCTGAAGGCCGAAGTGGCAGATGAGAAGATCAGCCTCGGAATGCAACAGCCATCAGGCACCAGGCCACAAGATCCATCGGCCGATCGCTGAATGCACAGTTAAAAGGCTCCTTAGACATGCGCGGCCTTGCTATCTAGCTGCGTGCCACGCTTCTTCACGGCGAAATCTCCGCCGCCCTCTCGCGCCAGCATGCCCGGAATCACTGCCTGCACGCATGGGATGACTCTGTAACGGTGCCGACCATCCGTGACTATCCACATTCCGTCAGTTGCAACTGTTGGGACTCAGCAAGTCACCTGCTTTGACGACCCGAAATCCTGATGCTCAGTTCTGCTTTCAGTTTCGCAAAACGACCTGGGAGCAGAGGAGTGCGCCAACGCAGGAGGCATCGAAAGACTTCTTGAAGGTCTCCTTGCAGACTCTAGTTAGAAAGTCGGAGCTTGGAAGGCAAGGTGGTGCATTTTTGGCCCGAGCCCAGAATCAAAAAAATGAAGATCCGGCCGATCGGCAAACAGACCAACTTTGAATGTGTGCCGTTCCGTGCCGATGAGCCCCTGTGGATACGTTTGGTTTGTCGTGGCCTGTGGACAACTCCGGCACCACCACATCACACCATCACCCAGCAAGAGAGCCGTCAACTCTGCAAGAAGCTCAACAGCTTGCAAACAGTGTCCATGGTGTGAAAGCCTAGATTGTCTTAAGTGCACACGAAGCCAAGACCCTTCACGATGTCTTGACCTCCGCATTGTAGTGCTGCTCTTCAACCTTCCTTTTCCTCCGGCCGGCATCAGTTAAAGCCACTCTAGCCCTTGCCTCAGCAGTCACGGCGTTCCTTTGCGACCGTCAACCCATGGCAGCCCCAACCCCGGTCAGGATCGATGTCCATGATCGAGATGCCGAATCCGCCCCCGCCACAGTTGTACACCTCAGCCGCCATCTCTGAAAGACCTTGCACGCACCGGACTGCTGCAGCGGCTAGCGGCTAGTGGTTGTCACAAACGGACCCAACTTCGCCCCAAGCCTCGGCACAAGCCGAGGTGCCAAAACGTCCACGGGGCCCAGCTGCTCTGCGGCGGCGCCGAAAGCCGAGGCGACGGAGGCCTCACAGCTCGCGCTCAGCTCTCTGCCTTCGGCTCTGCCTCAAAAGGAAGGAGTCAGCGCTTCGGCGGCTTTCGCCTTGTCCGTGGCGTCCATCTCGAAGAAGGAGTAGTTGGCTCCCATCTCCTCTGGAGCTGACTCGGAAGGCAAAACCACTCATGATTCAGCACTGCACATCGTGGGAGCTTGAAAGATGATGTGAAAGTCAGAGCGAGCATCTGCAACATCCGAGAATCTGAAAAAGAGGACAAGTGAGCGAGGCGGGCGTGCTCGCGAAGGCTTGATCTGCAGGGGTGGGCGGGGGCTTCTTTGGCGACCCTGCCCCAGGTTGCCTTCAACCTTGCAGCCGTTGGCTCAAAACTGGAAGCCGTTCGGCACATGGCTGCGATCTGGTAGCCCTCCTGCGAGTGATCATTTACCGCTCCACCACTGTTCCAAGGACTGCTAGGATCTGCTGGGACTTGACCTGCCGCACTCGACCCTGATTTAAGTCAGACGGCCCTCCCAAGCCTGAGCCTCAAAGAAGAGCCTCGTGCTGCACAACCCGAGGCCGCCGTGCACAAAACAGATTCCCGCCTTTGCGAACTTGATCGCAGCACTGCCTTCGTCAAATGGCACACACATTTGATTGGAATAGGGCGGGTGTGAGGGCAGCAGCCTGTGGGGCCGGGGCACATGCAGGGTTGGAATCACCACATGTTCCACTGTCCCTGCTTTGCTGGTGAAGGGTTTTGATCTAATTGAATGATTCAAAAGCCCGCGGCTGCGATTCAGTCTGGATGGAGGACTGTCCTGCACACGTATGCCAAATGATGCCAACAGTTCTCCTCAACGGAAACACTGATTTCGAGGCCGTGGACGATGTAGATGAATGGAATGCATCTATGACATATGCATGCAAGCTATAGGTTCTGAATTCCTCAGCTTCAGAGTTTCCCCCCAAAGGCCAAAGGCTGCAAACACCTTCAAACCTTCTTTCGTCGCGAAGACACTGACAGTGACATCAGCCCATGCAACTTCTTTTCTGCCCGACTGCCTCCCATACCAGGCCCGCAGCCCACAACTGCACAAACACCTCTCGAAGCCATGGCCAGGATTTGCTGGGAGATGCTCCCACCGATCAGGATCGAAAACAAAAACTTGCCCAAAAAATGCAAGGTCTTGCCGGTCCGATTCTGGTTCGGCCTTCCCTGGTGTTTGAGCGTCGAGGCACACCAGACTAAAACCGGTTCTGAGCCAAAGACGAGCGGACAAGGCACCGGCTTGGATGAGAGCAGTCGATGCATGCACTTGTAGCAAGGGTCCTACAGCAAAGCATTCGGACCGAGGGGAAAGCATTGATCTTCGTGAGGACTTTGGCAGGGACCTCAGGGCGGAGCCGTGAAATCTGGGGATCTCCTGCGAAATACGCAAGGCAGGACAGGTGTGAACCATCATTTCAATTCAGAGTAGAGGAAAAGGAAAGCACGCCTCGACAACTAAATTCTGCCACAGTGCTGTCTTCACAAGATTCGTTACGAAGCGAAAAGCTCACGACAAGCGCAAACTGGGCATCGGGCAAAAGTCAGTGCATAAGCACCGCACACGGCCACTGCTACCTTACGCTCGAGTTTCGCGGACAAGTGACCGTCGATGCCCACATTCGACGCTTTGCAAGGCACCCGGGATGTTACTTTCGGCTTGCATATCGGAATTCGCCTGCATAGCTACAAAATGCTACAACGTCGATGCTTGCCGGCAACTCCAACATCATCGGGAAGCCCCGAGACACATCACCAACTCTCACCCATCCATGACATCCGTGGCCAGTGATTTTGGATTGCGAAGGGCTAGCGGCTAGCGGCTAGCGCGATGGGCCTCTCTTGTGTTTGACACAGAAACCTTCAGCGAGCAGCAGGCCATGGCCTGTGAGGCCTGCGGGAGGCAATATCAACCACCTAAACCCGATACCTTTGTTGGACACGGACCCCACCTTGAATGACAACGCTCTGCAGCCAGTTGCTCGCGAGCTCGTCGAAGGCTTGAAACAGATCTACGACGAGCAGCGTCTGCAACACCGCGGCAAAGTCACAATTCTGCAGTCGGGTCTCTACGTTCCTCGAGTGGCTGGACATGCCCAGAAACAAGGTGGTGTCGGAGCTACTGTACCAGGTGCCCTCCGACACCACGCTGTTGCTGGGCACGTCCAGCCCCTCGCAGAACATAGAGACCCGACTGGAGAAGCGTGACTGGCCGCGGTGCGGTGCTGCAGACGCTGCTCGTCGCAGAGCTGTTTCAAGCCTGCGACGAGCTCGCGAACAACTGGCTGCATAGCGTTGTCATTCAAGGTGGGTTCCGTGTCCAACAAAGCTATCCGGTAGGTGGCTGATATGACGTGCGCCGTCGCTTGACGGAAGCAGGGCACCGCATTGCCCAGGCACTCTGTCGGTTCTCCACAGGCACCCTCAGTCAGGGCCGCATGACGTGGCATCGTGGGCGCTACTTCAGGCTCCTGCGCTTCCATGTAGGGGTCCATCTCCAGCCTGCTTTCCTTCTCTAGCCGTGCCTCGAAGAAGCCCTGGAGCTGAGGAATGTTGGGCGAGGGAGTGGTTGCCCGAGCGTCTTCTGCCCGTGGCTTTCCGACACGCGGCGGTGGCTGGGAGAGCACTGGCATCCGACATGCCAGGTGAGCGAGCTTGGTCGGAGACTTGCGATGGCCCAGGTGAGTCCAACTGCGTCGCGGCGGCTCCAGCTGAGTCAGCTCCAGTTGCGTCATCGCACCCTCAGCCCACTAAGAACCTCCAAACTCACTGGATTCTCCCATGACATTGCCTTTCCAAGGGCCGGTGCCTTGCTCAGGCAAAATGCCTATCCTCCGAGCCCGAAACGTCGATGACGAAACAAACGTCTGCATCGGAAAACAGCAAGGGACTCGTAGAGAGTGAAGAAGATATCGGAAAACAACGGGCAACATCGGGAAAACAAGTTCGGAAACCAAGGAGGGCGATGTCGGAAAAAACAGGCGGACAGAATCACGCAGCCGAATCAGAAAACAGCACAGACGAAATCAGAAAACATGACAGAATCGGAAAACAAGAATCAAAAAACAACACCAAAAAATCAGAAAACTGGAGAAAGAACATCCAAAAAATGGGCGTAGTCACCCCTCTGTTTTGCAAAAAACCGGGGGGTGAAGGAAGCCCGCGCTCCTTTCACGGCCAGAAACCGAGAGGTGCGGTCCTTTCGCGTCTCGGTTTTGGCCACACACCGAGCCGTCAAGGAAGGCCGCGCTCCGTTCACCCCTCTGTTTTGCCCACAAATCGAAAGGTGAAGGAAGGCCGCGCTCCGTTCACGCCTCGGTTTTGGCGACAAACCGAGTGGTGAAGGAAGGCCGCGCTCCTTTCTCCTCTCTGTTTTGGCCACAAAACGAGAGGTGAAGGAAGGCCGCGCTCCTTTCACCCCTCGGTGTTGGCCACAGACCGAGAGGTGAAAGATGGCCGCGCTCCTTTCACACCTCGGTTTTGCCCACAAACCGAAAGGTAAATGAAGACCGCGGTCCTTTCACCCCTCTGTTTTGGCACAAATCGAGAAGTGAAGGAAGGTCGCGCCCCTTTCTCTCCTCGGTTTTGGCCACAAACCTCCTTTCACCCCTCGGTTTTGGCCACAAACCGAGAGGTAAAGGAAGGCTGCGGTCCTTACACCCCTCGGTTTTGGCCACAAACCGAGAGGTGAAGGAAGGCCGAACTCCTTTCACCCCTCGGTCTACCACAAACTGAGAGGTGAAAGATGGCCGCGCTCCTTTCACACCTCGGTTTTGCCCACAAACCGAAAGGTAAATGAAGACCGCGGTCCTTTCACCCCTCTGTTTTGGCACAAATCGAGAAGTGAAGGAAAGGTCGCGCCCCTTTCTCTCCTCGGTTTTGGGCACAATCCTCCTTCCACCCCTCAAACCGAGAGGTAAAGGAAGGCCGCGGTCCTTTCACCTCTCTGTTTTGGCCACAAATCGAGAGGTGAAGGAAGGCCGCGCTCCTTTCACACCTCGGTTTTGCCCACAAACCGAAAGGTAAAAGAAGACCGCGGTCTTTTCACCCCTCTGTTTTGGCACAAATCGAAG